TGAAAAATGTAGGCAAACGCTCGCAGTAATGGTTTATCCTCCGCACGTAGTGTAGCGAACGTATTGTTTTCGCGCCGTTTGTGTTTGCGTGTGCGTGTTGTGTTACGTGTGTGTGGTGTGTGTGTGGGTGTGTGTGTGTGTACGTGTGCATGTCGCATGTGCGTGTGTTGTTGTGTCTGTCTGCTCGATATTTTTGAAACCGTTAGAGTAGAAACTTCAAACTTGGTCCTGAGGTGGACCTTAGGGCAGTGGAACCCTATTGATTTCGAGAGCCTTTCACCCAAGGTCAAGGTCACAGCGTTCACATTTGATGAATGGATAGATAGATAGATATATAATATATATTAGATATATTAAGATCGATAGATAGGTAGATAGATAGATAGAAGAATAAAAAGTAGATGATTGATCTATAGATATCGCACGAGTGCTACGTGCAGGTGGGGAGGACTTGATTCCACAGCCACGCGTGGCCCTGGCGAATCCACTGCAAGTATACGAAGACTACTGTATCCCTTAGCCTGTTTTGGTGTTGTAAGTCTACAGCCAGTGCACCTAGCGGAAGTGAACTGAATCGTGCATGTTTTCAGCGAGATTTTGCATTAGAATTTTCTAAAGTTTTTTTTAAACATGAACCAATAAATAACAAAACGCAAAGTGTTAGAAGCGAACCTGATGCTAGGAATGAAGCACGAAATTTTTCAGCCGGATTCGTGCCAGCCGCCTGCAGTCATGCAGAACAAACAGAACAAACTACTCAAATATTATATAGATTACCTAAATGCTATTTAACCGAACGATATTCATTTTAGGGCAAATTTATCCATATTATAACTGAAACTATATGATCGTTTATAAGATATTACAATCCTTTTCCTTTTAAATGAATAAATAAGAAACACCCTCGGTCTTAGCCCTGCGGAAAGTGTTTTGCGCAACTTTATAGATCGTGCGCCCTTGACGTGCCCACCATCTTGTAATCAAACTGTAGTCGTTAGTTTTAAAACATTTAAAAAAAATATTTCTATTGGTAATTGAACCATGAAACTTTTTATGTAGCATAATTATAACCTAAATTAGCTGAACCGTTACACACTAATGTCATCACATTTTCAGTGAAGGTGCAAGTTGTTAAATGGTGTTTGACTTTGATAAGGGTTGTTACACTTACAGTTATAATATCTGCATCTCCTAATAAAATTGGTAATTTGTTATAACAGCATACCAATAACATCACACACCTCCACCTGTAATTTGTAAGACAAAGCCATACTTGTAGTCACTAGAATAGGCAATAGAAACACAAAACATTTCAAGGGTGCCACATAGGCTATAGTGTTCAGTGGCGGATCCAGGATTTCAAGGGGGGTGAAAAAAAGGGGGTATGGGGGTCCTCCCCCAAAAATTTTTGAAAATGTAGATCGCACGAGATGGTATTTGAGGCGCTTTTGAGAACATATAATATATACAGCCTTCATTCTGACTACGACAATTCTCTTTTTAGTAGAACAATTCTTGCGCTTGCAGTGCGGCATTGATTTCTGTACAGGGGGGGGGGGGCAGGGGTGACCACCGCTGGGACGAGGGCGACAGCAAAACTCTTTCTTGGAATTGTAAACAAAACTGCAAAACGGTTGTAACCTGCTTTGTCACTCAATTATATATTTTAACCCATGCATCAGGTGCTGTTTTGTACAGCCGCGGGACTATATTATACTTGGCAATAATTAATTGGTATATGTGTAAAAATCATGTTAGTCCAACAGAGGGGGGTAGCTAGCCACCCAATCCACCCCCTGGATCCGCCACTGGTGTTAGGATTAGGTTATAGTGATAGGGTTGGGTTACAACGTTGGATAATTGTAATGTAGTTAGAGTTGAGTTATAGGATCACTAATAGGGTTAACGCCTACTCCCTAACCCTAACCCTAACCCTATATTAGGGTTAGGGTTATCAACGGGCAAATTATTTAAAAGACGATTTCAATTTTGGATAAATAAAGGTGAATTCATGCTTAAAGTAAACAACAATATCTAGGCTTATCTAATAATCTATACAATCGGTGAATAAGTCCTTAGGGTAAAACTGATCCATTATTTGTCTACGTCATTACAGTTAGATCTATTTAAAATTTAAATGATATTTTTTAAATTTAAATTGACTTCTCATCCCATTGCTGGCACATGTCATGGACATCACTAGCGCACCCGGGGGGCCGTTGTCAGAAACATCGTAAAGCTAATGCTAATGTTAATGCTAAGATAACACGTATGACTATGTTAAAGTTACGAGAGGGTCTGGGCTCTTGTAATGTGAAGAGGATATTTTCGAGGATTTTTCATTCTCGTAACTCTGCGATTATTCTGTCAACGGTTTACGAGTGGAAGAGTTGGTGAGTTAAGACTAATCATTATGTTAAGACTAATTTTGTTTCTGACAACGGGCCCCTGGCTCCATGACTGTTTCACATCGTAGAAGTCTCACACCCTTCAATACGAAAAAACACCGTTCGCAATAGCACATACAACAGCGCACAAATATATAGAGAGGCAGTCAGAGTAGTGATAACTAAGATATATTGATATATGTTTTGTTTGAACTCTTTGATAGCTAAGGTACGGTCACTTCATTCGCTTGTGATCTTCTCACCACGTAGTGAAACGTGAGAAGATAACTCGTCGTGCACAATCCTAGTTTTGAACCCCGGCGCTCATTTTCGCAAACGTGCTAAACTATGTGCTAAACTATGTGCTAAACTATGTGCTAAACTATACATGTGCTAAACTATGTGCTAAACTATGTGCTAAACTATGTGCTAAACTATGTGCTAAACTAATCTGGGCGGATAACCTCGGAGAGGGCCACTTGTCGCTAGGACATCACCATCATTAGCTTAATGGCTAACCTAACCCTTATCCCATCAATGCAGACTGAGGGACCTAAATTAGATGGCAGTACTGAAACGAGAGTATAGAGACTAGAGTCACAGGCACTTGGAACGTTTCAATAATAAAATTATGGTGAATAAACACGAAAATGTATTTACTGCCAAAGTCTTAACATTTTTCTACTCTTTCGCTTATTATTATTGATAATTTCCTGTAACTGCCATTCAAATTCTCCTCTGCAACACACAAGTACTCCGCACACACGCCGCTGTGCACGAACAATAAAAAATATGTCCAGAGCAGGTAGGAAAGCGTGGTCGCAACTCAACGCTTAATTGCTTCGTTTCATAGCATAACAGCACAAATACACAACCAACAGCCTCCATTTTGGTATCAATGTACAGCTAAATGTTCACTTGTTCAAATTAAAACTCTGCCATCTGGCACTGCCTATACTTGCACCAGAGATATCTTGTGAATTCCTGAAGAAAACTCCCACTCTGCTAAATTGGAAGAAGTGCCTGTTTATCATCAGAAACTCCTTAACCGCGCTACTCGATTGTTTTGGCCAATAAACGTAGTCATGTGTGTGATGTCATGCCCACGCGCTTTATGCTAGCTAATTGACTTGGCGGGCCTCGAAATGAAGCTTGGCTGGGAAAAGATGATGGGAAGTAGCAGATCGTCTCAATCGAGGGAGAAGGGACTTGAAAGCCCTCAGACTAGGCGAACATGTAAGGATGCAGCCCATTCAGATAGGTCACAGCAAATGGAAAGGCGTGACTGTCACTCAACAGCTTCACAGTCGAAGGTATGAGGTGTCAGACAGCACCAGACGGACAACGCTATTTGAGGAACAGGCAGTTTCTCCGGGTCTCTCGGGCAGATGGCAATCAACAGGCGTCACGGCATCTACTCGAGCAAGCGTGCACAGCCGTACTGGTACCAGACCAACGGCACCCCGTCCCAACGTGCTCCAAGCAGCTCCATCTGAAGCATCCTACAGTGGAAGCTACAGCTAGAGCATTCAGAGTCAGGTGCAACAGATACAACTTCCGCGGAGAACAGTGACACCGTATACCGTACGAAATCAGGAACAATCGTCAAGAAAGTGGAGCGTCTACAAAAGGGTTAATTATCATTGTTTCAGTGTAGCGCAGTATTACTATTAGTAACGGACCCCGAGTGTTACATCTATTGCCATTGGTTAGGATTCAAGTGTCACTGTTAGATACACTTAGATACATTTACGTTTAGCAGATAATTCGATGTCAGTATTACTATTACTAGTAATACTATAGACATATAGTACTCTAGCATAGGACACATTTATAATTTGTCAGTTCAGTGTCAGTAGTAAAAATCTCATTTTGTACAAGGGGGAAAGATGCATGTCAAGTGATTACAGATTTGCACTCGAGACAGCACCTATAATATTAATGTAATACTAATAATATTACTATAGTAACACTAGGTCTAGCTCTAGAACTATAGTATTACTATTAGTAATAGTAATAGTAGGCATATAGACCTCCGCTCCGCCGCAGGCTCCGGCGCTATAGTTCTAGGTCATTTGACTCACTCTCTGTCTCACTGTTTGTGCCTGTGGTCATATACTGTTCTGTAATATAACTATAAGTTACATTTACTGATTTGGGACGTTTACATTGTCAAACTCATTTATAAGTCAGGATTTCTCAGAGCTAACCGATGTTACGTAACTAGTTGCCATACCCGAAGACTTTTCACGGCATTCATCTTTTTGAGGCACACGGTACAACGAGAACTCATGAAGAGAGACATTATGAATGATGTGATCTCGCCACTCGCAACTCGTTGCGGCTCTTACTCTCGCGAGATACCGAATATGCGCAATGATATATACATCTTTCAACAAAAGTAGTTACGGTGTTTGCTACATTCTATCATAATCAAAAGGAATAATTTTAAATCGTTTTGCAAATCGTTACGGCTACAATTAGTCATCTCCTTTGCATGAAGTGGGTGAATACTAAAATAGGTTCCCATATCGCTATTCAAAGCAAATTGGTTTATTTACGCACTTATAGTGTGTTCTGCCGCACAGTGTGCAGTCGGCGAGAGATGTTTTGGTTGGAATTTTCAGAGACACCTTGTTTTGCTATAGCCTATAACTATTCCTGTCAAGGCAAACACGGTCACATAACCGTCTGATCTGGACGACAAGCTGGGATTTAAACAAACTCATTGGTAAACTGTGTAATTCCTGTTAACGTCGTGTTCGTCACCTTTCTTATCATTTCGTATGCGAATTTTGACCGCCATTTTGCTAGTGATCGTCGATGACGGTGGTCCATTCGCACACTGTTTTTATGGCGAAACGCCGAAAGTCCCAATGACGTGAAAATAGGATTATAATTTTTAAATCCAAAGTTTTGCTTACGAAATTCTTTGTAAAACTATGTATAGTTTCTATTTTACTTACCTAGTTTAACACCTCTAGCAACTGCTGCTGGTAACACTAACAGTAACACAGCCTAGGTATTCACTAATTCAGTTCAGTAACAGCTCAACTAATGTCTAGACTATAGTCCATCATCCTGTTGACGTCAAAATCCTTCATATCTGATATTCACTGACATCCTGAAGTGTACATGGTTATCTCCGAGAATACATGTAAATTCACAGAAATTCAACTTAGAACTTGCTGAAGTCATACATTGGTTTTCCAATTGCCATACAGCATACTAATTCCTAATTACTATTCTTTTCCATCACATCAACCATCACATTAATGTGCCTTAATTACTCTAGTAAAGTTGCAATTAAATGTAGGGAAAAAAAGAGCAAAACTCTCTACACTATAGCAATTGTGTATTGATTTGCCAATGACCTTTATTAATTGCATAACTACGAAATATAATCATGAATATTGTATGTGTGAAATCTAACCTTCAGCACTAAATTTGGAGCTAGTCTAGAAGACATGACCCATTGACATTTTGTATTGTATTGTAGACATGAAGTATTGTGGGAGATGTCTTCTAGACTAGGGCCCTAAATTTCACCATTTATTTATCCTATATATATAGAATTGAGTGTCATTTTGACTTTCAGGATTCAAAAGAGCAGTCAAACGTGTTCTGCGAGTTATTGACGCTATAGATGGCCATAAATGCCACGGATTCCACGCACCCTGAGATCCAGTTGATGTCTTTAGTGTGTGTCTAATCTGCATGACAGACGTTCAAGCTGTGTCCGGCTAATCCCAGAGACATGACGATTGTGGCACGAAGCCCAGGTACCCCTGGGGCTGTTGAGACTCCAACTCAACCCCAGCCACAACAGACAACAACAACAACACAGGAGTCACCAGGACAGCAGCAGCAACAGCAGCAACCATCACAGCCAGAGCAAACGGAAAAAGTGACACAAGAGGTACTAGAGTAGAAGTTTACTCCCAGTGAGATGTTTTCAAGCTCTTGCAGGTTCCAGGTAGTTCAGGGCCTAAATTTAAATTTAAATTAAAGTATTATTTGCAGGGATGAGATTCTTCCGTGGATCCGCGGAAATCCGCGGATTTGACAGTCCCAGGGGTCGATTTTGTGAAACGTCTAAATTCTTTGAGAAAATTGGGAGGGGGGTAACAATGTAACAATTTAAATTATATACCCTCAACAGCATAAAGCGATGTTTCACGTGACGTCATAGACCAGGTCACGTGTATATGTTGTGTTGTGGTTGGCAGAAGCAAAGCGTGCTGCTTGACATTTACAGATAAATAACCACATGTTCTGATAGAAAGCGCTGTTTATGTAGTGCACGTACACGTGCGTGCTGCGTGCGTGCGTGCGTACGTACACATGCGTGCATGCGTGCGTGTGTGCGTGCGTGCGTGCGTGTGCACGTTCACGTTCGTACGTTCGTGTGCACGTACACGTGCGTGCGTGCGTGTGCACGTACACGTGCGTGTGTGCGTGTGTGTGTGCGTGCGTGTGCAGGTACACGTGTGTGCATGAGTGCGTTGGTGCGTACGTGCGTGTGTGTACAGGTACACGTTCGTGCGTGCATGCATGTGCACGTACACCTGCGTGCATGCATGCGTGCGTGTGCACGTACACCTGCGTACATGCATGCGTGCGTGCGTGTGTATGTAAACGTGCGTGCATGCGTGCGTACACGTGCGTGCCTGTGTGCGTGTGCACGTACACGTGCGTGCGTGTGCACGTACACGTGCGTGCGTGCGTGTGTGAGTGCGTGCGTGTTCACGTACACGTGCGTGCGTGCGTGCAGGTACACGTGAGTGCGTGCGTGTGCACGTACACGTGCACGTACACGTGCGTGCGTGCGTGCGTGTGCACGTACACCTGCGTGCGTGTGCACGTACACCTGCGTGCATGCGTGCGTGCGTGCGTTTGGATGTACACGTGCGCGCGTACGTACCTACATATGCACGTACACATGCGTGCATGCGTGCGTGTGCGTGTGCACGTATACGTACACGTACACGTATATATATGTGTGCACGTACACGTGCGTGCGTGCGTGCGTGCGTGCGCGTGTGTGCACGTAGACGTGCGTGCGTGCGTGTGCGTGTGTGCACGTAGACGTGCGTGCGTGCGTGCGTGCGTGTGCACGTACACGTACGTGCGTGCGTGCGTGCGTGTGCACGTACACGTGCGTGCATGCGTGAGTGCATGCGTGTGCACGTACACGTGCGTGCGTGCGTACGTGTGTACCTACACATGCGTGCATGCGTGCGTGTGCACGTACACGTGCGTACATGCGTGCCTGTGCACGTACACGTGCGTGCGTCCGTGCGTGTGTGCAGGTACACGTTCGTGCGTGCGTGCGTGCGTGCGCACGTACACGTGCGTGCATGAGTGTGTGCGTGCGTGTGCACGTACACGTGCGTGCGTGCGTGGGTGCGTCCGTGTGTGCACGTACACGTGCATGCGTGCGTGTGCGAGCGTGTGCATGTGCACGTAGACGTGCGTGCGTGCGTGCGCGTGTGCACGTACACGTGCATGAATGCGTGCGTGCGTGCGTGTGCACGTACACGTGTGTGCATGAGTGTGTGCGTGCGTGTGAACTTACACGTTCGTGCATGCGTGCGTGCGTCCGTGTGTGTGCACGTACACGTGCGTGCGTGCGTGTGCGTGCGTGTGCAGGTACACGTTCGTGCGTGCGTGTGTGCGTGTGCAGGTACGCGTGTGTGCGTACGTGCGTGTGTGTGCAGGTACACGTGCGTGCGTGCGTGCATGCATTGGTGGTCGGTTTGGCAGAATAAATGATTTTCAACATTCATAGACCCAACATCAAGACGTGTTTTAAATATCACAGAGGCAACCAAAAAATATACGAATGCTTTCGTTATTTACGTGTTGATACTAGCTTCAAATAATTGTAAACATTTGACAGTTTAGAGATATCACTAAAGAAGGCCTTTAACATTGATTTGTTGACTGTTAACAAAGGACTGAACTGCTTTTGCTATTATTAGAGCCCATACCTGTGTGAATGTGAGGCTACAGTTGCACAGTTTAATTGCAAAGGCAAATGTTTGTTGAACAAGGTTTACGCTCCTTAAATCATATTATTTTCTAAAGCAGTCTGTCTATACAGGGATGAGATTCTTCCGCGGATCCGCGGAAATCCGCGGATTTGACAGTCCCAGGGGTCGATTTTGTGAAACGTCTAAATTCGTTGAGAAAATTGGGAGGGGGGGTAACAATGTAACAATTTAAATTATATACCCTTAACAGCACCTGACTGTACACTGTAGAGTGTAGACAGTAGGCTGACAGCGAAGTATACAGTGTATCTGTTTTTGCGTACCAGAAAAGAAAATCCTCGTTCACAGGCTGCAGTAGAGGGGCAGACATTTGAGGTAGCTGATCACGTAACGACCATGCCTGGCCTGGGGGCCGGGTTTCCATGTTGCTGGGTGTATGTTGTGTGCATGACTATGCACTGATTGTTCCATTCGCATTGTGTTTTTTTCATTCAAATCTGGTCGCAGCAAGGCAGCTTATGTCTGAGTAAAACAATGCAAGCGACGGGTGGAAACAGAAAAATATCATTATGTCTAGACATTTAATAAAAAAACTTGCCCTATTTTCAGCCCCCTGATTTCCTAATTTATTATAGTTCCAAATTATAGTTCCGAATTATAGTTCGTTTGTCCCTTTTGACAACTTGAAAAGGTGATTCAAGAGTCTCCTATAATTTGTTCAGAATAGCTTAGAATGCACCAAATTGCACCATTCTTTTAAAAAAATTCAGGGGGAGCATGCCCCCGGACCCCTCTAGCACGGCGATGACCTACGGTCCTCGCATTGCTCGCTCCTCTGTTTGTTAATTAAAATTTCAGCTGAAAATTTAATTATCCAATCTCATCCCTGTATTTGATATATATGTGAATGCCTTGTTAGAATTCTTTTACCTTAATGGATTTTTAAATGAGGTATTGTTGTGGTCACCTTTTATTTTCCCAGTCATTAGCTAATAGTCTTTATATATATATGCTAGTTCACTAAGTTATAATAGACCGGAGTATCGCCTGTCGTGGTGGGGGGTGGCAGTTAGACTCGGTGAGCTATAGCTTGTATTGTAACAAATGCATTTTATACAAATTCAATTCAAAGTAGACAATCTTTTCTTGGATAATTACAGGGTAACACGAATTCCCCCTTTTCAGCATTATGTTTCGTTCAATTGTAAAGGTTTATTTAATCTAAAAATAAAAGTTTTTTTTTTACGTTTCACGCAAAACACGAGTCGGTTTGTGGTAACGTTGTTAAATAGACCGCCACTAAAATTGATTTATTGCTGTGGTAAAACTGAGTCACCGAAACATATAAACACCGCTGTGAGCGGGGATGTTATGAATATTTTGATCAACATAACACAACAAATAGAAAATATTTATACCCAATTTTGACAGATATGCATAGTACTAGATTGATACTACAGTAATTGCCGGGTTTAGCTGGATTAATGATTTTAAATTGGTATAAATTTGTAAATGAGTCGTCATGTAGTTCAACTTCCAAACTTACTTTGCGCCAATGGTCAGTTGGTACGCAAAAATTCTACAAGTACCGGTTTTTAGCTCATCTGACATAGTCAGATGCAGCTTGTAGAATCGCATGAGCGTGCGTCCGTCCGGCCGTCCATGCGTTCGTGCGTCTGTCAACAGTTGGGCACAAATCTAAACGGCTCGACGTACGGTCACGATATTCGGGACGTGGGGTGGTAATC